GCAGTACTGCCTCTAAGCCAGTGGTGGTGAACCTATGGCCCGGGTGCCAGAGGTGGCACTCAGAGGCCTCTCTGTGGGCACGCGTGTCATCGCCCCAGCCAGGCCCAGACCATCATTAAAGTGTCGAATTCTCTGCCAAATAATTTTAAGTCAATGAAAGCATTTGGGATTGCTTTCCTTACTTTGTTTGGATCATCTTAAGTTAATGTAGAAGTTGTTTTTTCTAAAGTAAAACCTCCGTATTCAGGTTAAATTGCCGTGTTGGCACTTTGCGATAAATGAGTGGGTTTTGGGTCGCAGTTCGGGCACTCGGTCTCTAAAAGGTTTGCCATCACTGCTCTAAGGTGTGGAGTCCTGTGAGCAAGAATTCTACTTTGTGAGCTCCTGGCATTAGAGTTGTGAGCGGGCGACTTGGCTACTGCAGGAAATGAGTTTGCTCTGGAGCCATCCCTCCTGAGCTGAGACAAAAATGTTTGAGCTGGAAGCTTAGAGGAAACCACTGGGGGCAGTAGGGTGATTTAGAGCGGGTGCACGACTCCAGTGTAGGCTTGCCAACCTCCCGGTGGCGGCTGGAGCTCTCCTGAGATCATAACTGTGATCTCCAGGTGATAGAGATCAGTTCACCCGGAGAAAATGGCCACTTGCGAAGGTGGACTCTATGGCATTGTAACCCACAGAAGTCCCTCTGCTCTTCAAATCCTGCCCTCCTCAAGCTCCCCCCTCCCCCCAAATCTTCAGGTATTTCTCAGCCCACACCTGGCAACCCAACTCCAGGGGAACTGAGTACTGCTGTTTCTTTAGAACTGGATCACTTTTTAGAAATAAATCTTATAAAAATAATCCTGCGAGGTAGGTTAGGCTAAGGGTGTGTGAGTGACCCAAGCACCATAACAGAGGATATTTGAACCTTCATCTCCTAGATCCTAGTCAGAAACTCTAACCATTTGCACCATTGGGTTTCTTGGAGTGGCTGCTGTTGAACAGTAGCAAGCCTGGGTGTTATGCAACCCAGTAGTTGGTGGTGGGTCTGGCGTCTCACAAGCCAAAGCAACCTGCCCCTCCCCTTGCCTTTCAGTGAGGGAAACCAAGGCTTGAAGGCCGGCAGTACTGTTGTGCTTGCCTCGACAATGGCCACAGATGGCGTTTGTTTCTTAAAGCTACAGGCACAGATAGGGTTATTTTGAGAATTAGATATATTGAAGATGATTACATTACCTATTACATCCAGCTGAATCTTCCAGGCAGTGTGGTGACCAGGAAGGGGAAAGACCCTGCTGGTGGCATCCTTGCAGCTTGCTGTAAGGAATACAACTTTTGAGTGCAGCTTTCCCAGTACCTCTCAGCAACATACTTCTCAGCTATGTAAAAATGACTGATTGCTACATACACTCCTTCACCTTCTCCTATCCTCCCCAGTAACAGCTCTAAGCAAGTGTAAACCAACGGAAAGGTTTTTCCACATTCTTGGGATGTTTTTAGTGGGGCAGTACACACCGGCCTTCTGTATATCATCCGCATTCCAAGCACAAAGCATACACAGGTACTACGTGCTGTTCTCACTCGCTCATAATGGCAATTGGTTGGCCTGGTTCTTCACTGCTCTCGTGCTGTGTGGACAGCTGGCAAACCTCGAGAATTGCCCGTGCTGAACCAAGAACCACTCGTTTACATTTCTAAAATAAACTCTGTGCAAGATCCAGAGGAAAACTTAGATTGAGGCATCAAGCTGCAAAATGCTGCCAAGCTTCTCTTGGAGCCTCTCCTGAATCCGTGAGATGATTGTGGACATAGCTGCTTCCAGAAAGCAGCACATATATCACAATCCCACTGCTGCAAAAGTGCTGTAAAAGCTGTTTAGGAACTAGTAAATAAGCCCTGACCTGGATGGCCCAGGCTAGCCCGATCTCGTCGGATCTTGGAAGGTCAGCTATGGCTAGTACTTGGATGGGAGATCCCCAAGGAAGTCCAGGGTCACTGCCTCAGCAAATTTGGACTTTGACAGGAGGAGAGGAAAATGCAAAATAGTTTAATCTTGATAGCCTGATGTTTATTCTTAACGCATAACTTTAATCCAATGATATTTACACGATAGCCAAAGAGATTGTGATTGTTTACTTGACACTTTCATATTATTAACTCTCATATTTTGCTTTAAAGATAATAGAGATGTATCAACAATCTTATATCATTGTAACATGGATCCTTGTTACTCTTTATTTCAGGTTGTTCCCTTCCCCTGGCCCTGTAGGATTGTAGTTTAGGAAAAAAATTTAAAAAGAAAAAAAGAATTACAGCTGATCTCCAGAGACCAGTTGTCCTGGAGAAAATGGCGGCTTCGGAGGGCAGACTCTATGGCATTACATCAGCTCCGAGCTCCTCCCCAAACCCTCCTCAAGCACCGCCCCCAAATCTCCAAGAAGTTCCCAAGCCGGAGTTGGCAACCCTTGATCTCACCCAAAGGGAACTAAATTTGGTAGCCCTGTCCATGGAAGTTTTAGTCGTACGACAAAGTGCTCAGCAAAGTATTCAAGGTGCTGTCCTTCAAAGAAGAGAGTGCTTCTGTCTAAATTAGGGATTAGAAGGGGATCTTTCTCTTCTACAAAACTGGAAGATAGCATATTTTTAAGGAGGTTGCGTTCACTCCTGAGTTATAAAGTCCGGGGCAGAAATAAGGGAGCAGAGTTTCCCGGAACCTGGGGGCTACAAAAGTGTAGAGGTGGGTCATGGTGGAGGCCTCATAGAAAGACACCAGCCCCCCTTCGTAATCCAGATAAACCCCAACTCTCTTGGGAAAGGAGGCAGGGCACAGCCTTTGAGGGGGGGTGTCCTTGGCCCTGAGCTCCACCCCATTTTGTAGCTGGATCACCCAGTAGCCATTGGCAGGGGAGGCGGCAATTTTCCCCTTGCGGTTGATGGAAATGCTAGCCAGCCCTAAGGTCCAAGATGGCTTGTTGCCCACCTCCACCTCCCAATAATGCTTCCCTGAAGAAAAGCCCTGGCAGCCTAAAACTGCCACGCAGTAGTTGAACCGCGTAGGAGTGTCCAGGACGTCCCTGCGGAGGTGGCCATCCTGGACGCAGGTGTGGTCATCTGAAAGAACGAGGCAAGGATGAGCTGTTTCAGGGTCCAGAGTTATACGGGGGAACTCTGCAAGAGAGAAAACAACCTCCGTGAGAAAGACAGTGCGGGGCAGTGGTTAGAGTGTTGGACTAGGCTCTGTTGGACTAGGCACTTTTGCCATGGAAGCTCATTGGATGATCTTGTGCCAGTTACACACTCTCTCTCCACCTAACCTACCTGACAGGGTTGTTGTTTGAGGATAAAATGGAGGAGGAAAGAACAATGTGGTAGACCACTTTTGGTCCCCAGGGGTGAAAAAAAGTGGGAATATAAATATCTAAATAAATACAGGTGTCTTTGTAAATTGCAACCTGCTTTCCCTGATCTCACCTCTCTATCCCGAAGAATTCCAGAGCGGCACAGTTCATGGAGGTTTGGTGAGCTGGCGCTGACACAAAAGTCATGCTTCCCATCACTAAACTAAACTAAACAAAATAAAACTAAACAAAACACTAAACTAAACAAAAGTCCAGTAGCATCTTAAAGACGATCAACAGTTATGCCAGCACAAGCATTTTTGAGTCAGAGCTCACCAATATCACATACGGACCACTCAGGGGTCATTTCCTGCAGGAGCGTTTTTTGAGTCAGAGCTCACCAATGTCACATACTGACCACTCACCTTTCAGTGCCCTTCAACCAACCATACAGACACACTGAGTAAAACCACATCATGACATTTCTCCTAGAGTCTAATCCGTATTAAATTATTCTGAGTATCTGCACTTCTCGGTTTGCCTTGTTCCACACTGTTTGTAATAACCCCAGCAACCAGCAGAAACTAGAGCCCTGTTCACAAGTTACAGCGGGTGCATGTACAATCCACATGCAGTGTACGCTTGATCAGGGCTTTTTTTGTAGAAAAAGTCCAGCAGGAACTCATTAGCATAACAGGCCACACCCAAGTGGAGCCTGAGCGGTGGGTGTTACCTTCTGACACACTTCCGGTGATGTCAGGGGGTGTGGCATATGCAAATAAGTTATGCTAATGAGCTCCTGCACCTCTTTTTCTACGAAATGACCGCTGGGACCACTCACCTTTCAGTGCACTTCAACCAACCATGCAGACACATTGAGTAAAACCACATTATGACATTTCTCCTAGAGTCTAATCCGTATTAAATTATTCTGAGTATCTGCACTTCTCGGTTTGCCTTGTTCCACACTGTTTGTAATAACCCCAGCAACCAGCAGAAACTAGAGCCCTGTTCACAAGTTACAGCGGGTGCATGTACAATCCACATGCAGTGTACGCTTGATCAGGGCTTTTTTTGTAGAAAAAGTCCAGCAGGAACTCATTAGCATAACAGGCCACACCCAGCAGCAGGAACTAATTAGCATATTAGACCACACCCCTGACTGCACAGCTCATTAGCATATTAGGCCACATTCCCATGTTACCAGAAGTGTGGTCATCCAGCCAGATCACCTTTTGCTTCTTATTCCGTTGACCTTGTTTGTTGTCAAAACCCAGGGCCTTTTTTTGTTGCAGGAACTCCTTTGCATGTTAGGCCACACACCCCTAATGTAGCCAATCCTAAGGAGTTTCTGCTGTTGGGTGTGGCCTATTATGCTAATGAGTTCCTGCTGGGCGTGGCCAACTCGGGAGCCAGCCGGAACTCCGTTCCTGTGCGTTCCTGCCCAAAAATAACCCTGCGGTTGATCCTTCTTTATACACACATTAAGTCGTTCTCGTGTTACGTTCATTCTCATATACAGATGAGTGTGTGATTTGAACACCACATTGATCCAGTTACTGGCCTCCGGTTTCATTTGTAAAGCGTGTGTGCATTGGCTCCTTCTTACAAACAGGTGTGTGCACCTAAATATAAGATGCCTACGTATTCAGTGCAACATGTCAACAGGTCTTAGGTGGCCTGGGGGGCCACAGCCTACCCTTTGCCCATCACTTGCCACAGGCTGCAGGCTCCAGGGGGAAATATATTCTCCCTCCCAGCATGATTCTTGACCTATCCATGTGCTGAGGCTCTGGGAGACCCACTTCCGATTCCCTTGAATCGAATTTTCTGGCTTCTACCCCTGTCCGAGATCCACCTTACCAATGTTGAGAGCAGATTTCATTTCCTTCCACGCAGTGTACTGGATGGGGCCTTTGAACTGTCCTAGCATCTGCAATTGGAGGAATTTATCAGAATTCGGGAGAGCTGGAATGCTTTGCTGCTGCTTCACTCTTTGCCGGGTGGAAACACAGTCACAGAGGGAGAGAGAGAGGTACGTGTTAACATCTGATCGATCGGGATGCATCTATCCCACAAAAACAAGTTCCCTTTTATTGTACTCACCTGTTCAGAAGTGAGGGTATACCCTGTAGGTGGCAAGAGGATAAAACAGTGTCACTAGAGGATCTGGAATTCTATGCTAATAGATCCTAGTGCCAGAAAGTCCAGAGGGTTGTTCTCATGAAAGGTGGTGGGAAATGCCAACAGGTCGCAGCTGACTTAAGGTGACCCCGTAGGGTTTTCAAAGCAGAGGGCGGTATGCCATTGCCTGCCCCTGCATCACAGCCCGGGACTTCCTTTGTGGCCTCCTAGCCAAGTACTACGTAACCAGGACTGACCTCGCTTAGCTTCCAAGATCCGAGGAGATTGAGCTACCCTGGGTCATCCATAGAACCCTAGAATCATAGAGTTGGAAGGGTCCTCCAGGGCCAGCTAGTCCAACCCCTCGCACAGTGCAGGAAATTCACAAATACCTCCCCCTCCACACCCCCAGTGACCCCTGTTCCACGCCTAGAAGATGATAAAAAACAAAACCCTCCAGGATCCCTGGCCAAAGTGGCCTGGAGAAAAATTGCTTCCTGGCCCCAAAGTGGCGATCAGCATTTCCCTGGGTGTGTAAGAAAGGGGCCACAAGAACTAAGCACTGAGGCAACCCTTCCTGCCCTCCCTCTCATGACTTGCCCAAGTTCACACAATCAGCACTGCTGTCTGATGGCCATCAGGTCAGAGTGTTCTTATCAGGGCTCTTTTTGTAGAAAAAGCCCAGCAGGAACTCATTAGCATAATAGGCCACACCCAAGAGCAGAAACTCATCAGCCTATTAGGCCACACCCCTGACAGCACAGCTCATTAGGCCACACCCCCATGTTACCAGAAGGGTGGTTATCCAGCCACACCCACCTTTTGCTTCTTATTCTGCTTACCTTGTTTGTTGTCAAAACCCAAGGTTTTTTGTAGCAGGAACTCCTTTGCATGTTAGGCCACACACCCCTAATGTAGCCAATCCTAATGAGTTTCTGCTGTTGGGTGTGGCCTATTATGCTAATGAGTTCCTGCTGGGCGTGGCCAACTTGGGAGCCAGCCGGAACTCCGTTCCTGTGCGTTCCTGCCCAAAAATAGCCCTGGTTCTTATGTATCTAAGGGCTTAAAAACTGCCCGTTTGAAAACCCTTTAAAAGACAAAAGAGGCTGAGCAAAGGCTCCTGAGGATGTGCCCCCCACCCCCACCCCGTGCGAATGGGTGAGGTCAGGCAACTGCCCATTCACTCTTATTTT